CATCGACCATAGAGGACGCACCGCGTTTAGTATAGATAGGTTCTTGCCGGTACCATTTTTATATGACCTATAGAAAACAAGCCGAGTAAAAGAATCAAAGATATGTAAGCAAACAAGTATTAGGCTTTAACTATAACTTAGTAACTTGAGTTAGGCTCTGACACCCTTATTAAGGACGTATGGTGCTGATAACTATCTTACTGATAATATAAATGTGAAAGTTTAAATGGATGGATGTTTGTTAGAGTTTATAGCCTTAACGACTTGACGGATTTCGATGAAATTTGGCAAAGACGTAGAGGATAGTTTGGATGAACACATAGGCTACTTTTTTAATTCCAAGCAAAAGTCGCGGGTGAAAGCTAGTGTACTTACAAATAAACGTTGTATATAGATACGGGTAAAGTAGTGAAGAGGCCAGTAGCGTGTATTGCGACCTCTAGGGCTTGGGCAAAGGTCACATTACCGAACACAAACATCTTAAAATACTTAGGCCCTTTGATACCAGCAACTAGGAATAATAAAGAAGAAGCCTGGAAAGTTCATATTAATTTTTTAAAGTTGTTGCCTAATTCCTTTCCCTTTCCACCCTTTTAACAGGTAAAGATTGGAAGGAAAAGTGGACTTAGCGAAACGTTTTTATATATTATAAGATGGCAAACGAGCAAGCGACCACCAAAATCCACCATCCGCAATTGCAGATGCGTTGCCTACCCTTCATTGACGGAAGAGACGCACACAAAGAGGACATTTCCCCTTCATATGGGTCTCCTCCACCGTCAAATACACTTTTCCTTCCCATTCTTTCCTTAAGAAAAGGGTGGAAAGGGAAAGGGACTAAAATGAGGCCTCCGGCACCACACTCATCAGACGAAACGATTATATCCACTTCACTCCTGTTTTCTGTGTGGTCGTGGTATTATTACTGGGGGCGAGCCCTGCAGTGCGAAGATGTTAAAGCGGGCTCTACCACTGGTAAAGTTTAGTCAAAGATGTGTCAAAAATCATGCAATTTCAAGTTTATGGGTCGCGATCGTTTTTATTTCTGCGAATTCGGTTATTTCTCGTTTACCCCCTTTATCATAATAAAAAAGAGTAGTAAAAGAACGATGTTTTAGTTAGCGAAAATTCTCACCCACATAGCGATGTCGTACCCCCAGGGTAGGTAAAGCACCCTCGTATTGTATTTTTCACAATGAGACACGTAGAAGTTCAGCACTATACTACCTACCACTAGGTAACCCCTGGAAAATTAAATTCTGTATTAAATGCATAAAAAAACAATATTTTAAGTACTGCTAGTTGTTGCCCGCGACACCGTCCGAGTGGAATTATAAAATACAAAAGCAATGTGTTCTTCCAGACTATCCTCTACGTCTATACCAAATTTTATCGAAATCCGTTCAGCAGTTTAGTCTTCAAACTCTAACATCCATCCATCCATCCATCCATCCATCTAAATTTTCGCATTTATAATATTAGTAAGATTGTTAAGAAAATTAGTACCGCACTGTAGAATTGCCGCAACACTAGATTTTTGGCATAAACGTGACATCTCTAACTGACAGCTGTCAATGTCATTAGAAGGAATGGATTTTCGCGCGCATTTCTGGATCTCTGGTGAAGTCTTTAAATTAATATCGCTGGTAACAATTATATTAATTGTTTAAAACTACTTAATAATGTTTGTTAGAGTTAGGTTAGTTGAACGGATCTCGATGTTTGGCATAGACGTAGAAGAT